TCCAGCTTCTCAGATTATTTACTCAGCATACAGGTTAAATAAGTATGGTGAAAGAATACAATCCTGGTGCACTAATTTTAAACTATTCAGTGTTCCCTTGTTCTGTTTAAACAACTGCCTCTTGGTTTATGTACAGGTTCCTCATGAGCATAATTAAGTGTTCTGGAACACTCATGCTTCACAATGTTGTCCATAGTTTATCATCATCTACAGATTCGAAAGCCTTTGCATAACCAATAAAGCACAGGTAAAAATCTTTCTGGTATTCTCTGCTTTCAGCCAAAATCCATCTGACGTCAGCAATGATATCCCTCATTCCATATCCTCTTCTGAAACTGGCTTAAACTTCTGATCATTGTCTATCAATATCTGGTTGCAGCCATTTTTGTATTACCTTTAGTAAAACTTTACTCGTAAGGAATATCAATGATATTGTACAGTGATTTCTGTATTCCATTGGGTCACCTCTCCTTGGAATGGACACAAATATGGAACTCTTCCAGTCAGTTGGCCAGGTAGCTGTATTCCAAATTTCTTATCATAGATGAATAAGTGCCTCCTGTGCTGACTCACTTTGTTGAAAGATTTCACTTTGTATTCTACTAGTTCCCTGTGTATTGTTATTTGCCAATGGCTTCAATGCACCTTCCTTTAGGATCACTGGTTCTTGGTCATATGCTACTTCTTGAAATGGATTAACGTCAATCATTTCTTTTTGGTACAGTGAGTGTTGGTACAGTGAATATTTCTTTCATCTTCATTTCATATTTTCTGCATCATTCAGTATTTTGCCCATGTTGTTGTTGTTGTAAGGTACCATTGAGTGGGTACTGACCCATAGCGACATTATGCACAGCAAAATGAAACACTGCCCGATCCTGGACCAACCTCACTACTGTTGCCACACTGGAGTCCATCGATGCTGCCACTTGACCAATCCATCCCGTTGGGAGTCTTCCTCATTTTCTCTGACCCTCCACCTTACTAAACATGATATCCTTCTCCAGCGACTGGTCCTTCCTGACAATATGTCTGAAGTATGAGAGATGAAATTTGGCTATCTTGGCCTCCAAGGAGCACTCTGACTGCACTTCTTCCAAAATGGATCTATTGGTTCTTTTGGCAGTCCATGGCACTTTCAATATTCTCCTCCAACACCATAACTCAAAAGCGTCAATACTTCTATGGTCTTCCTTATTCACTGTCCTGCTTTTGCATGCATACAAGGTTATTGAAAATACCATGGCTTGATATTTTGCCCATAGAATCCTTCAATAATTTTCTTCAGTTCCCTCAGCTTGAGAAATGCTTTGCACATTTTGCTATAATATTTGGCTTTTTCTTCTCAAATATTTTTTGAAATGTTCTGTTCAGTTCTTGCACCTTCTCACTTCTTCCATTTGCTTTAGCATCTCTCTAATCTTGATGTCATGTTCTTCTTCATGTCATCCAGCTTCTCAGGCTATTTGTTCAGCATACAGATTGAATAAGTATGGTGAAAGAATACAACCCTGGTGCACATCTTTCCTGATTTCAAACCATTCAGTGTTTGCTTGTTCTGTTTGAATGACTGCCTCTTGGTGTCTATCCAGGTTAATGTTCTGGAATACTTATTTTCCACAGTGTTGACCTTAGCTTGTCATGACTATGCAACGGCTGTGTGCTTTGATTTTCATCAGTAACTGTGTTTCGTTCTGCTGTGCATAAAGATTGCTATGAGTTAGTACCAACCCGATGGCACCTAACAACAACAACAACAATTATAGTCAGCAATTAAAGAAGCTTGTTTTCTTATCCATTCTGCTACTCTGGGTCTCTTGACCTGTACATTTAATCCATGGCTTCTGGTGTGGTAGTGCAGCATAAGACTGGATTGTGAACCACAAGGTCAGCGATTCAAACCTGCCAGTTGCTCCTTGGGAGCCCTACAAAAGATTGCTATGAGTCAGAACTGACTTTATGGCATTAACAAAAACAACTACATGAACTGATTGCTGTGGGTTTTTTGTGGAGCTGCTACTTTCCTGTTCCACATAATTTTCTGCTGAATTAGTCTTGTTTGTTGGTTTTCTTTTCATTTTCATTTCTGTTATGTTAATGTTTACTAAACCTTTTGATTTTCTTCTTTTTTATTTTGATGTAAACGTATATTAATTTTCTTGGATGTTTTCTTGAAATTTCTTAATTTTTCCACATTTAAAACGGTCTGTTTTATCTTAAAATCTACCTCCTCACCATGTGAAAGTTCTGTACCTACACTATTCCCTGTTTGGCTTTATAGTTGACTTCATTATAAATTGGTATTTCTGGTTCCCTATTTTTAGTCTTGTAGGTTTGTTTTACTTTAAATACTTGTACATCTGGATTGAGTCCATTTGAACTGACAGGCCAATAGTTCAAATTCACCAGCTGCTCCTTGGAAATTCTGTACAGGGCCGCTGTGTGTCAGAACCGACTTGATGGCACTTAATAACAGCAACATATATAGATCTATTTCTGGGTGGTGTTGTCATGTACAGTAATCTCAGATTGTTGGCTGTTGTTGTTGGTTCTCAGTACAAAGGACACCCTCTTGCATTTTTTGTAAAGTTGGTCTGGTCATTACAAATTCCTTTATTTTCTGTCTATCTGGAAATGTCCTATTTTCACTGTCTTATTTGAGGGACAGCTTTGCTGTGTATATGATTGTTGGTTGGCAATATTTTCTTTCAGAGTTTCTTGCCTGCATTTCTGCTGAGAAATCAGAGCTTAGTCTTGTTGGTTCTCCTGCATATAGAAATTTTCATTTTTCCTAAGCTGCTCTCAGGATTCTTTCCTTTGGTACAGGTTTTTTATAGGTGCCAAATTCTGAGCACCTCAGATTCATTGCTTCATAGAGATATCCTCCACCCCAATTAGAGTAAGGTGGCTGAACACATGATGCCAGATGAGATTGGCAGCAGTTTATTATTCCATGAACTCACAGTCTGAGAGAGAAGGAAACCACACACCATACAGGCCCATGTGTGAGTTGTGTTCAGGAATAGAATGAACCAGCAGGGGCTGTGGGCCGCAGGCTTTGTAGTAACAATAGGGGAGGGGCCCCTTAGTTTCCACAAGAGGATATGATTGGCTTTTTGAAGAATTCAGTGGGCTGGCAGGGAAGTGAGACATGTAAGTTGACCAATAGAATGAAAGTGATCTGGCTGATAGAGGGCTAGCTGGATGTGATATATCTTTCCAGTTGGCCTATAGGCATTTGGGCAGCACCTGAAATTTTAGGCCTTACAATGCAACCTTGAAAATAAAACAAAGGTTGACTTTTCACTGATGTCATTAATCAATAAAGGTCACACAGGCCTTTCTCTGGTGCTGTCCTCCGACATGAAACTCTGGCCTGCCTTCATTTCACAATTCCACCAACTGGAGATTCTTTGATACAAGGATGAGAAAGAGTGTGTGTACATGAAGATTCGCATAACTCTTGCTCTCATTCCCCTTGGCAAGAATTCAAGGTGATCTTCTCAACTCAACAAGGAAGGCTGAGTGACCAGGAAGAGGAAATGGTATGATGAACTACCCTGTGTCTGCCAAAATGTATGGAAATACAGAATATGAAAGAATTGTTATAGCAAGTCCCTGTGAAAAGTATCAAAGGTTTAATAAATGATGCTAAGAAGAAAGGAACTGCATTTCTTTCTCACATTGTATACAAACAATTTCCAAATGGATTTAAAATGCAAATGAGAAAGACAAAGGCCATTTAAAAGACTATCTTTCTGATCCAGGCATTAGGAAAGAATTCTGAATACACAAAACATGCACAAAAGGAAATGAAAGATTAATAATACACCATAAAGAGAAATGCAAATCACAAACTGGTAGAGTAGTAATATATATAACTGACAAATGTTTAGAATCTAGAATGTAGCGAGAACTTCTACTAATCAAGTTTTAAAGACGTATATTGTTAAGTGCCATGGAGTCAGTTTTGACTCATAGTGATCCTGTACAGGGTTTCTGAGGAGCAGCAAACAACCTAATAAAAAACTTAAGACAATTAACATGAATAAGCATATAATATAAAAGGAAGTATGAATGACCGATGATAGAATGAAAATAACTCTATTTCATTAATGAGATAAAAAAGTAAGGTTTGAATAACAACAACATTCCATTTCACAATCATGAGATGAAGTGTTTAAAAATCAGATAGTGTCAAGTGCTGGCAAGGATGAAGATCAATAAAAAGTACTTTTTGCAACTAATGGATATATAAATTGACAGAAAAGTTTTGGGGAAATTTTTGACAATACCCTGTGAAATTAAGAATAGGCCTACCACATGAGATAGTAATTAAACTCATAGAGAAATTCTTGCTCATATGAATTATAACTAGAAACCTCAGTAGAAATTATAATCTTGAAGATAAAATGTTAAGTGAAAAAACAAGATATCAATGAATACCTACAGCTATAACTTTTTTATAAAGATATTAATCAAGAAAAGCTAGGCATATTGTTTAAGAATCCAGAGATATGGGCTGTACATACAAAGAAAAGCAAATGAATAGTCAAAACCAAAAATTTAGGGTAGTAGATAACCTCTGTGCTAGAGAGGAACACATGGGAAACTTCAAGAATATCTGTCAAGTTGAATTTTTCAAGTGAGCCAATGGAGCCACAGATGTTGGTTTTATTATGTAAAAACAAGGTATTAGCAAAATTAGTGTAAATATAAAATATTTCATTAGAAAAATTTACACACAATGGAGAAGAAAAATGTAAATACTCAACAAACTGACTCCCATGAAAGAAAGCTCTTGATTTTGCAATTACTTGGAAGGAAAAAAAAAAAGAGAGAATATAAGTTCTCTTTTTACACATAGTCTAAAGTGACACCCACTCTCCTTTTAACATTTAAAATGTTTTATTTTACTGTTAGTTAGAAGCCCTTCCCAGTATATTTTATCTCACGTTCACTTTTTTTTAATGTCAAAATCCTCTTTTATTTTTTGCCAGTGGCCAGGTTTTATCTGCTCTTCCCAGAAGTTCTAGGCAAGTTGAAATTCTGAAAAACCTTACTACAACATACGAGGTAATTTCTCCCTGATTTATCTTTATATTGGTTTCATTGGGATATGCAATGTGTGCCATGTTCCCTTCCATGTTTGTCTGACATACGTGTATCCAATATGGTGGTGGTTATGAGCCATGGGGTCAGTTCTGACTCACAACAAGTCTACATAGCATTTTCCGAGGCTGTAAATCTTTATGGGAGCAGAAAGTTTCATCTTTCTTCCTTGGAGCAAATGGTAGATTCGAGCTGCTGACCTTGTGGTTAGCAGCCCAGCTCACAATCCACTATGCTACCAGGGTTTCTTCTTATAGCACTCTTCCCATTCTCATACCCTGTGATTTTGTTGGTTTCCCAAATAAAACCTTCTTCCTTCGTGCAACTGGATTTTCAGCCAGTTTTATAATAGTAACTTGAGGATGAATTTGTGTAGTAACAGGAATACTATAATGATAACAGTTCAATAGAACTTTGCCTACAACACCATGGCTTTTAATCAGGAGGTAACAAGCTACCACAAACTGAGTAGCTTAAAACAACAGAAATCATTTTCTTACAATTCTGGAAGCCAGACCTCAAAGATCAATGCTTCGGATGGGTCATGTTCTCTCTCTGAAAGCTCAAGTGGAGAATCTGTTTCATGCCTTTCTCTTGGCTTTTGAGATGGCCAGCAGTCTTTGATGTATAGGCATATCATTCCAGTTTCCATTTCTGTGTCACATAATGCTTTTCCTGTATGAGAGGGTTTCAAATATTTTGCAGAAAAATGGAATAGATAGACAATGAAAACTTTTCACCAACTTTTTGAAGCCCCCTCATATGTCTCTGTCAGTTTGCTATACTGTGGTGGCTTGTGTGTTTCTCTGATGCTGAAGGTGTACCATTGATATTTTAAATACCAACAGGGTCACCCATGGTGGACAGTTTTCAGTGGAGCTTTGAGACTAAGGCAGACTAGGAAGGGGGCAGATCACTTCTGAAAGTTTAGCCACTGAAAAGCTTATGAATTGTTATTAATTAAGTGTCATTTAGTTGGTTCTAACTCAGAGAAACCCTGATATATCTCCCAAGGAGTGGCTGATGGGTTTGAGCTGTCAAACGTGTGGTTAACAGTCCCGTATTTATCGTACAGCACCACACTAGGACTCTATAACAAAGGGGAAATGTCTGGTATGGCTCTGGAAGATGAACCCCTCAGGTTGGAAGGCAAAATAGAGTTGACCTTAATGATGTAGATGAAGATAAGCTTTCAGGACCTTCATTTGCTGATGGGACACAGCTCAAAATGAGAAAGGAAAAAAAAAAAAAAAAAAACTACAAACATCCATTACTAATCCGAACATGGAATATATATATACAAAGTATGAATCTAGGAAAATTGTAAGTCATCAAAAATGAACTGAAATACATAAAGATCAAGACCTTAGACATTAATGAGTTGAAATGGACTGCTATTGGCCATTTTGAATGGGAGAAACCTCTCATTCACTATGTCAGGGGTGAAATTTAAGAGGAATGGAGCCACAATTCCTCTTCAGAGAGAACATTTCAAGATCCACCTTGGGTTTTTTTTTTGGGGGGGGTTGTTGTTGTTTTTTTAAAGCTTTTTATTATGAGTTGAGTGAAGGTTTAAAGACAAGATCATCAGCTTTACATTTAACAAATTATACATTTTGTTTCATCTCAATGATTACAATTTTCACCCTGCAACAACAGTTATCCTACTTCCTCCATGTGGTTCCCCATTTACATCTTATAATTCACATATGAACAAAGCAAATATCTGAGGTACACATACAAATAAAATATATATATATATATATATATATATATATATATATATATATATATATAAGTGTCCAAAGGTCACATTCTGCAAGCCAGCCTTCTGCCTGCAGACACATAGCCATAGTCAGTCCATAGGCCTAGAGCCCACAACTGTTCTGTCTCTCCATACCAGCATCTCTGCTGTTGCCGCTTTTCTAGGTAGGATCTCATGCTCCACTCATGCTCTTCCTTTTAGATGGTCCTGGGATCCTCTGTTCCTGAAATGAAAGATTAACTACTCCCCACTTTTAGTTATATATCTTCTAAAATTGCAGTTATTACAATCACAATTAATCCTGATAACAATTACTCACAATTGAATCATAAACTCCTATCATCATCAAGAAATTAAACAATGTATTGCATTAGGCAAATCTACTGCACAAGAACACTTTAAAGTGTTCAAGAGCAAAGGTGTCAGTTTGAGGACTAAGGTGTGCCTGACTCAAGCCATGGTATTTTCAGTAACCTCATATGCATGTAAATTGGATAATGAATAAGGTAGAAGATTGATACATTTGAGTTATGGTGTTGGAGAAGAAAATTAAAAGTACCATGGACTGCCAAAATAACAGACCAATCTGTGTTGAAAGAAGTACAGCCAGAGTGCTCCTTGGAAGCCAGGATGTTGAGACTTCATCTCTCATACTCCAGGCATATTGTCAGGAGGGACCAGTCCCTGGAGAAGGATATCATATTTGGTAAAGTGGAGGACCAGAGAAAAAGAGGAAGAGCCCCAACGAGATGGATTAACACAGCTGAGCAGCAATGGGCTTGGGTGTAGCAACGATTGTGAGGTTGATGCAGAACTGGGCAGTGTTTCGTTCTGTTGTGAATAAGGTTGCTATGAGTTGGTACTGATTGGATGGCACCTAACAACAACACCATTACCCCCTATTCTCTTTCACTACATCCATCTGAAAAAGAGGAAAATTTTTCAGTGGGAATTCTATCTTAACAACCTCATTCTGAAATTAAGCACACTTAAGCTTGTAAGCCAGCCACTCCTGCCTTTATAACAACCCCCCCCCCCCGCCGCAACACACACACACACACTTTTTTGGTAGCCCATCCCTATCAACCGAGTACGCTGAGGAAACAAAGTTGTTCTTTAATATATCCTTCCATTCTGGTTGGAATTTTGAGCAACTGCATCCATAAGTAAAAGTCCAACTCATCAAATTATAGCAATTTATACTTACAGTATCAAGCATCTTTATCTTCATCTGGCTGAGTTCTGGTCAGCTACCCATCCAAGCTAGGTCAAATGAGTACTAGCTGCAAGTTTGGGAGTTCACGCACACCTTCCTGCACTTCAGACCAGCTGGCCACTTCACTGTCAGCCCTAGCCCCCAGGGATAGGTTAGTGCCCATGGGCTCAGGAGTTCACACATCTTGTTAAACTTCAGAGCAGTTAGCCCTCCTTCTTCTTTCTCTCATCTCAAGGTCATTGGGTATCCGTGGTATATGGCCAAACCCAGTCCATGTCTTCATCGCTGCATTTCCTGCACTTGTACTCACAAGTAGAATCTAGTAGTGATCAGCAAGCATTCTAGACTAATCATGGGTTCCATTTGAGTTTTAGTCCTAGAAGGAGGTTTTCCTTGATGGACTAACTTTTCTTGCTCAAGATCTATCCTGTATGATAGGATAATACCTAAATGCAGCAGGAGTCCAACTCACGCGGGGTTGTGGGACATGAGAGGAGACGCGGAGTCAGCGAAAATGAAAGCAATTGAGAGGTTCTCTTTCTCTGTCTGCCTGTTGTTCTGGCGCAGCTCAGCAAGTCTTTATTTTTATACTTAAAACTACACAGTACATAATAAATTGACACTTTGATCTTTTCTTGAATTATTACACAGTTTATCACAACATTCTTGCACCGGGTCATTAGGCAACTTTGACAAAAATATTTCTGTGATGTTCAAACTGACTTTCATCTCCTTTCCCAGTATGTGATAAACTGTTTCTTCTTGTTTCTACTAAAAGATTAAGTCAAGCTTTACACAAATCATTTCTACTTATCAGACACCTGATTACATTTTCTTAGTAACATATGTTTCTATTAATCATCAATGCTTGCACTACCTTATTATTTGTACTAATTATCAATCTTCTATCCTACATAATGTACTACTATTTTCATAGTAAAAAGTATTATTAGCATCTACTTATTTATTTTTCTAAAGTATTCATTAAATTGCTTGGAAGCTATGTGGCATAAAGCCCAACCTGGCTAATTGCTGCAGGAAATGTAGA